TTATAATATATATATTAATAAAATCTTTATTAATATATTATAATATCACTGATACTCATGTATATTAAAATATCACTATTATACTCACATATACAGGGTAGTAACGTTAGTATAATCTAACAGGGGTGATTCTACATGAAAAAACGAATCGAAAATAAAGAATAAATTTTTTCGATTCGAAGCTTCGTTTTCGAGAAAATCGACTTTCAATATCCATCGAATACGCTGATATACCGATCCGTCCGCCATAACTGAAGTTAAGTGCGCGCGCACTCTGCGAATATTCAAAGTCGATTTTCTCGAAAACGAGGCTTCGGCTGAAAAAATTTTATTCTTGTTTTTCGATTTGCTTTTTCACGTAGAATCAGCCTCTCCTTGATTGTACCACCGTTTCTGGGACACACTGTATATATATACATACATTAATAGTACTAAAATAGTGATATCGTATTACTATGATATTAGCAGTGATGCATTATAACGATATAACGATAATGATATCATCAGTATAATATTATTCATCATCACGTGTACACGTTATACATACTAATAAGAAGCTGCATAAATTACATGTAATTCAGAATAATATGTTAATTAATAATAATAATAATAATAATAATAAAAAATGGATTTAAAAGCCCATTTAAAACAACGGAGAAAATTCGAAAATTATTTTAAAGAATTCAATAGTAGTCCAGCTAATAGAATAAATAAATATAATATTCGAAAATGTATAATACAAGTACGACTGTACACGTCGATCCACCATTCGTATAAGCTTGCGAATGCATCGAAATTAAAGGAAGACACGTCAGATGGCTCTCCTGAAAGAGAAAATAAATTCCTGTGCCTGGCTGTAATATCTTCGTCCGTAATTAATGTATCTGCAGGTTGTTTCACATATACAACCATCGAACGTGTTACCGACAGACATAATCACGTGGCTCGCACATACAAAGTTCCGTTTAACGCTACCCTCGGTGGAAACTATAAACCATTAAAGTCTTAGATCCTTATTTTTTAACACCTGCTCGCTATATACCATTTTCTACATGCGTATTTACTTTCATCGTACCACTGTAATTATAGTCATCCTGGTCCCGTACCTCTGGGTAATACCTTCCATGACCTACCTTACGTGCAGCCACGGATAATATCGAATGCTATATATAACGCGATAATGGCGCAAAAGTCATCAATGCAGTAAACTATAATTGATAAATTGCACATGCCGGGGCATTATCAATATTAGATAAAGCAATAATAATTGTACTGTACTGTATTTTCTCTGGTACGTACGTCTCGAGATAAATCCTGACCTAGCCTGATCTTCGAGAGAGCTACGAAAAATACCTGGGTTGGTATAGTATCGCGTTCAATTTCCAGGGATAAAAATTTGGGACTTACGAATTAGGTAATTAATTTATTTTTCAAATTTTCTCGTATTTCCTTTCTCGATAGCTGGAGAGAGGTGTGAAAAATGCCTGGGTTGGTATAGTATCGCGTTCAATTTCCAGGGATAAAAATTTGGGACTTACGAATTAGACAATTAATTTATTTTTCAAATTTTCTCGTATTTCCTTTTTCGATAGCTGGAGAGAGGTGTGAAAAATACCTTTGTTAATATACAATAGTATCGCGTTCAAGTTCCAAGAATAAAAATTTGGGACTTACGAATTAGGCCATTAATATATTTTTCAAATTTTTTCATATTTTCTTTTTCGATACCTGGAGAGAGCTGTGAAAAATACCTTTGTTGATATACAATAGTATCACGTTCAATTTCCAGGGATAAAAATTTGGGACTTACGAATTAGGCCATTAATTTATTTTTCAAATTTTCTCATATTTTCTTTTTCGATACCTGGAGAGAGCTGTGAAAAATACCTGTGTTGGTATAGTATCGCGTTCAATTTCCAGAGATAGCAGTTTGGGACTTACGAATTATGCGATTAATTTATTTTTCAAATTTTTTTCATCCAAGATTTCTTTTTCATAGTAATTTTAGGAGATGGTTGGATTTCGATGTTTCGTATAAAGTGGACGTAGATAGACGTGGAAGCAAATGAGGATTGCGATTACTATAATATTCTTCACTCGCGGACGAGCCTAAGTATCACACTGCGCAGACTATACTTGGAGGAAAACACTTATTAGTTTCCCTTGCAGGAAAACATTCGCAGAAGTTATTATTTCCGGCGGGTACTTCCGAAAGATTATTTCTTGACTGATCTAATGAAAATAAATTTTTGTTAATGAGATGTTTCGAGGAGGAAGAACTTTTAGGGCAATTATAAACCGCTAATAATTAATTTTCATGAATCTTACGCTCGCATATTTAAATTTTTCATTAGAAAATGTACAATTTTTATATGTTGAGAATTTTCCACTTCGACTTTAAGGCCCATTTTCACCTAAATATAAATATAATCCTAATAGAAATAAAATGGAAATGCAAATATATTTTCGAAAATTACATTTTCCATAAATTAAATCAAACTAGTCATTAATAGTTAAATTCATTATTATGGTGGTCATTGGTCTCACCAATGGTCAACATACTGACAGTGTACGACAGTAATATAAACAATAAATAATTCAATTCAATATTTCACTATTTATCAAAAAGAAAAAAAAAAATAAATAAATCCAAAAGCAATCCATTCGTGAAAACCACCCTTATAAATAAAATACCAAACTACTTCACCAATCACATACCCCATTGTTGTGGGTGACTAAAATTGATTTGAATAAAATAATAAAATGCATTCCACTACCCTCCCCCAAAATTCTCCATGTTCTTTTAACTTTCTAAACTCAATACACAGAAATTAAACATAACCCTCCAACTTCCAAGCAAATCCTATTCTTGAAACGGTACCCCTAAAAACCACCCTCATAAATATTGTACAAAACCAAAATTATCAAACCAAACTATCTCACCAATTACATACACCACTAATATAGGTGATCAAAACTGACTTTAATAAAATAATAAAATGGTATCCTCCCCCCTCCCCCAAAATTCCCTATATTTTTTCCACTTTTCAAACTCAATAAACATTAATTAAACATAACCCTCAAATTTCCAAGTTAACACCTCCGATTAAAATCAACTTTATTAATACAAATAAAATGGAACCTTCCCCCTCTCCCAAAATTCCGCACACTC